CTCTAAGTTTTCAAGCTTTAAAAATCCTCCCTGCAATGCAGGAGGCAAGAACAAGTTTCTAAAAACCCCTTCTAAGCTCTGTCTCTTCAAGCTAGTAAAAGACAGTGGGTCAGAGTACCCTGAGGGAAACGCTTGGGAGAGTAAGGGTAAAAAGCTACAGAGAGCCCAAAAGGGCAGGAAACTTTACCTGAGAAAAGCAAAAAAGCCAAGCTTTTCAGTTACAGCCAAGCTGAGGCAACAAGGGTTTTGTCTAAGTGAGCATTTCAGAATGAAAAGGTGCTCCTAATCTTCCTAAAGCAAAGATCCCCTGAAGCAATGCAAACTGTTAGCATTGTATCCTCGCTTCTGACCAAAAACCCAGAGGTGACTGGCCAGTGTCTCTGAGTTGGGGTGCATTTTGGGGATACTAGGGTTCCTGCAGTTATAAACTTCCTGGAGCACAGAGCTGAGGCAGGAAAGTGCAGGACCCAGGGGAAGATTGCTAATGAACAAACAAAGCTAAAGCCAGTGGGAGCGGCACAGTTGTCCACTTTCCTACAAGTCCCGGGTTGATAGGTCCACAACTGCAAAAAGAAATCTGAGAAAAAGCTTTCCTATCAGAGTAGGGACCTTTCTGGGAACACAGTGGAGGAGCTGAACTGTGTCTGAGGCAGTTGTGCTGCTGGGTCAGAGCGCTGTCTGGGGAGGGAGCCCAGCCAGGGCGGAGTGGAACTGACCAGGAGTGAAGCTTTCTTTTCTGTCAGAGAAAGCACCTCTTTGAGAAAAGCTTTGTTTCAACTGACTCCCAGTGAGATGAGGGAGTGTAGCCCTGAGGGGTGATTGCCTCTGGCATAAGCTCTGTCCTGAGCACCCAGACAAGCAAATGCAACCCACTGGGGGACTGGGCCAGGTGAAGGCCTGAAGAGGCAAAACACCCGTCCTAATGGGAGTTTAGAAATGGCAAAAACCTCCCTTGTTAGATTATTAGTCTGTTCGCAAACCACACAGACCCCGAAAACAGAAACGGACTAAAGCCCCTACCTTCAGTAGCAGGGAAAGCCACCACTGTAGTGTCGGAAACTGTTTCTGGGGTAGAGGGGATAAACTGAGACCAAACTGGATACTGTCTGGGAGAAAGACTCTGAAGAAACAGAGCAGACAGATTCCTCCTCAGAAAATGCATGACCTGACAAAGCTGCTAGAGTTTGGGGCAGATTCAGGGGGAGAAAAAAAAAAAGCCCCTACCTCCAAAGGCAGCTAGCAGAGGTACAGAGCCACAGACAGATACCTGACACTCTGCATCTGGGGGGGAACGAACAAGCAAAATGAGATAAATCAGTGGGAGAAAATCTCTGAAGGAGCTGTGGAAAAGCTCTGTTGCAAATGATCTTGTTTTTCACTGACTGGCTAAGGCAAGCACAAGCCCCGAGCAAAGTTGTTATCCGAAATGCCAGCCTCAATGCCGGCCAACGAGGCAGGTGTGGTTCTGATTCGGGGGCCAGTGTCTGATGAAGGAAAGACACCTGTTGAAGCCAGCTGAGGAGAATAGAAACCTCCCAATGT